ATCATAGCGCATGTGTTGTATCACCGCTTGACACCATCCAAAGGCAGTTCATACTGCGGTCCAGATACTGATTGATACAAAAGGCAGTTCTCATACTGCGGTCCGGATCTCTCAATCTCATACCAAAGGCAGTCGTCCACTGTGGTCCAGGGATCAATCGATCAATCGATCGACACACTGGACACTTGTGTTGAAGACCAACTCACTCACACCAGATCTTGGTGTCACCTCAAAGTATCCATTGGATATCAATTGTGCCAAGCTACCTCTGGACAGAGTGTCCCCAGCGGTCAGTTGAAACCTGCAATAACCCTTAGTTACAATCTATTTGAGCAAGAAAAGCCCTAGAAGGCTTCTACAGCAGATTCCAGCAAGAATAATAATGGAAGGCCATTATGATAGATCTCACTGAGATTAATTGCAATCGACCTTTACCATAGATTTCGGGTTTCAGGCACGCGACTGCTGACAGCGGTCTCCCTTGTGGCTAGCTCCATGTGATCGTGAGCATGCCCCCTGTGTGGTAACCAACCGCGTGCTCCTGAGCTCAGTCCCCTTCTTGGCTGAGCTCAGACCTGCTCCTCACATGTGAAACCCTCCAGGCTGTCTTATCCTTCCCATCAATGATGGAGTCCTTCTCTTCCGACCCTCCTGTTGCTTCCTCATGAACATTTGACCCATTCTGTACCAATGGGAGCTTCTTGTAGAGTGTTTGGTGAAATCAACCAAATGGATGTATTCTGATTGATTTTAGTGAAATCAATAGGAAACTTGTGATGTGGTTGTTTTCAGTGAAATCAACCAGAAACCTGTGATGCAGTGGATTTCACATTTTGTGTGCAAAAGGCACCCCATACCTCATTTCGGATCTTCTGCGCAGACCCTATGACACTACCCTGATGACGTCAGACCGCGGTCTAGAGAGCATGTGGACAGCCAAGTCCCTCCAGAGTAGGAGCCTTGCTCGCAGGGGGGTTGGAATTTTGAGGTCCGGCCAACCCAGTACAATGCTACAAGCATCAGTAGGTACACCACGTCCACCACATAGACTTTGTAGAGTACCCAGTAGCAGTTTCTAGACTTGTCACTGGGCCAGGTCGCACTCGATAAAGCTGTGGATGGTGGAGTCCTTGGGTCTGTCACAGAGCATACAAGAAGACACACCAAAGGTTCTTCTTCGTAGGTATCATTGATCATCTTTGGTACTTTGTCTGGATCGTCATGGACTTGATGCATCAGGGCTCGGAGAGCTATTGTATCACCATTCAGAATGTTGTAGTTTGCCAGTTGACGGTCTCCTCTCAGCTTCTGTGCCAGCCATGGGCAACTGTGAAGGAAGAGGAAGACATCTGACAGTGCTTCAGAAAGCAGGAGAGAGTCATTGTGGTGTCACTCCCATACCTGTTGTCATTGAATGCTGGTAGCCTCAAAAGGCCATTGAGGCACTACAGCCTCGCTGGGGGAGAGGAAGGATTGAGCATGCCTGATGGTATATGCAGCTATAGGCTTCTCTGCCAACGTGGCCAGGTGTCACAGGAAGGGGAGGCCTACTGTATTGATGTTGAATGGACAGTTGTGAGGATGCAGATTTTTCTGGCTCTTCAAGTTATCAGGATGGAGAGCAAAAATCTTGCTGATGTCGAGTAGCTTGCTACACACTGCTGAATTCATTTTGGCCCACATGTTGACCCAATGCTTTGGTAGCAACCGGCCGGCTGCAGTGCTGAAGAGCTCCAAAGTAGCTGGTTGGCCCCTGCTTGTGACATAATTGTTCTTGCATCCGGCTGGTGACAGTGGAACAAGAGGATAGGCGTTTTCGCAGTCATAGGGATGGTCGACCTTGCCTCTTTTGTTTGGATTATACCAGAGCAGGTCTCCCCAAACAAGCAAACCATAGTGCTCCCAATTCTGCGTGTTGATCTCGTGAATTTCAGGCCAGGCGTATCCGAACTGTAAGCAGTCACGTGCCTGAAACCTGAGTTCGATGGTCCTGGTTGATATCTGTGAGATCAACTGAGTAAGCTCCTTCCAAACTGTTTTGGTGAAAGGAACCAGAAGGCTTACTTCTGAAAGGTTTTGACTGACTGTCTTGAACACTCTGTTCAGAGTCTATGTGGAACGATCATGAAATGGGATTGTCTTGCTAATGCTATTGTTGCTAATGCTATTGTTGCTAATGCTATTGTTGCTAATGCTATTGTCGCTAATGCTATTGTCACTAATGCTATTGTCGCTAATGCTATTGTCGCTAATGCTATTGTCGCTAATGCTATTGTCTTGCTAATGCTATACCGAGGTATAACGGATCAACGTCAGTGGCAGCACGAGTGTTTGTAATGCTGACAGACATTCAATGATGGTGGAATGTATCTGGACCGCAATAGAGTATCACCTACAGATGGAGAGAGACTGGATCACAGTGAAGAACACCACCTACAGTGAATGACTGGACCACAGTGATAAGCACTACCTACAGTTGTTGACTGGACCGCAGTGTTGAGCACCACCTACAGTTGATGTCCAATGGTGATACAACACATGCACTTGGAAGGTCTTTGCAAAGCACTGCTATTGCAATGATACAGAAACTAAGTAAAAATCAAGTTAAGTAATAAGTAGAGTGGATGAGGATCCACTCATATGTTATGGTGAAGTGAGAGTATATATGTGTTTTGTACAGTGTCACCTGCGACACTGCTCCTGCTTCTCCTACAAGGTACGATACTGCTTCTCTCCTCTCTGAGCTGTGTGTCGATCTCTTCAACACTGCTTCTCCTCCTCCTGAGCGATGTGTTGGTCTCCTCGACACTGCTCTCCTTCTCCATAGACAGTCTGGCCACTCTCCAAACTCTACCCCTATCTTGTGAATGACCCTGACCTTGTGATCATCCTATTGTCCTGCTCCCTGTCCATGCAGTCACCCCTATGGCTATCTTCCCTCTCCATGTGGTTGTCTTCCTCAACATGCATGAGCATGTTCCCCTGTGTGGTAACCTACCGCATGCTCCTGAGCTCGGTCCTCCTCTTGGCTGAACTCAGACCTGCTCCTCACATGTGAAACCTCTCCAGCTGTCTTGTCCTTCCCCTGATGATGGAGATCTTCTCTTCCAAGCCTCCTGTTGCTTCCTCATTGTCTGTCGATCTGTTCCAAACCGATGGGAGCTTCTTGCAGTGTGTTTGGTGAAATCAACCTGATGAGTGTGTTCTGCTTGATTTCAGCCAAACCAATTGGAAACCCATGACATGGTTGATCTCCGTGAAATCAACTGGAAACCCATGTTACGGTTGATTTCACATTCCGTGCGTTTTTAGGCGCAATTAATCTCATATCAGATCTTCTTGTGCAGACCCGATCTTCTGCGCAGGCCCTATGACACATTCTCATCCGCTTGTTGGGTAGCAGCAGTTGCATTGCCAGTATTGTGAGGGGAATTAGGACAGGCAGCAGCGATATGTCCGGCACGTTGACACTTGTGGAAGAGGTGGCCAGGGCAGTCTTCAAAGGTGTGGAAGTATTTGGCCTTGCTCTTGCAGGATGAGCACCACTGTAGTCATCCAACATAGTTGAGTTCACAATTGTTGGTGAGGATTTGAACATAGCCAGGAATGGCATGGAGTCGGATCAGATCAAGGCCCCCTTCATCTCCCACTGGGGTGGAGATGAGAGCAATGAAAATGTTGGTGTCAGCTGGAGGTGTAGGGTTGTTGGGGTAGGAGACTGGGTGGATCCAGACATTGTGTACTTGTACATAGGCCTTGAGGGATTAAGCTACATAGCGAGCAGTGGCTGTAGGTGCATGGGCTTGAGGGGCATCAAGGATCTTGAGGGCAAGGGAATTGCAAGGAAGGGCTGGGCCAACCAGGACATGCTGGAGATTGGTCCTGTTAAACACCAAGGAGATTTCGCTGAGTGCGACCAGCTGGTTGCTAGGTACTGTGATCTCCATGAACCAATTACAACCTGTGCTGCAGGGAAAGTTGGCCACACAGGCAGGTGCTTGAATGCCTTTGGTCTGCATTTGTTGTCGAGCCTCGAGTTAAAGAGAGCCTCAAGCAATGTCCTCCTCTTGGTTTAGGTTGAAGTTATGCACAAACTGCCAATGGACCATGCAGGGAGGTACTCTGGCACAGTCAGACCTAGGGAGTGGAAGCTCCTCGAAGGGGACAGCAGCTTGTCAGATTGTTTGGCAGACCAGACAAGTCTGCCAGTGAAGATGGGCTGAAATGCCTGTTGGTCAGGTTCAACCAGTGATGGATCTTCCATGGTTTCATCATCACCATCTCCACGTTGTCCAGTAGTGGAGACAGTGGTGGGATCACTGGTGTCAGCTTGGTTGGAGGTGAGTGTGGTGGAAGTTCCATCAGCCTGAGCCTGTCTGGTGGTGAGGGCAACAGATGCATCAGGTGCATGGGTCTCTTGCTGCAGAATGCCATCTCTGTGACCCGCGTGTGGCATGCACGGTGCACCAAGGGCAAAAGAGACTCACTGTCGCGATCAGGCTCTCCAGAGCTGTTGCTGAGGAAGGTATTGAGGAGTTGTGTTAATGGATCATAACGAACAAGGTGCTGGTTTTGCCTGGCATTGCTATGCTGAGCTCCCCAGCGTCAGCAAAGTAGCCAAGTTTGCGAAAGTCGCGATTTCATTGAGTCGAAGTCGAGCCGTTTGCGGATGGATGGATGGATGCGGAGGGTGCGAAAGTGACGTTTGCTGGCCTTGGAGCTTGCAAAGGTGCCGATGCTGTTGTATCTTGATACGTTGGGGTGCACTGTGGTCTGCTGAGTATCCTTGTTGAGTCTGGTGAGGAGTTTTGATGTCGGAAGGTCGAGGTGATTAGGAGCGACATGGCTACTGCCAGTTACACCATCTCGAAAAATTTGAGTTATAGCATAACTCGGTCATTTTCTGATAGATCTTGCTCCAAAAAGTTGGAGGGGGTGCCCCCTCGATCTTCCGCGTTCGTAGATTCGAGAATCAGAGGTTGAACCGCGAAAAAAAAAATCGACACCAGCAGGATTTGAACCTGCGCTCCCAGGGGGAATAGCATAATTAGAGTGTTGGATCCAATTCCGAGGAATTCGAGTGCTACGCGATAACCACTCCGCCATAGTGCCTACGATGCTTAGGCAGGGCAGCAGATGTGATTATAAAGCTAACAGGCAGGGCGAAAGTGGCAGAGAGCAGGCATGATGGATGGCACGTGCAGACAGCCATCTTTTCTTCTTTTTGTCTCTTTTTTCGAGACGCTGAGATAAAGCCCCAAGAGAGAGGAGAGACAACTGAGCCTAACAAGCGAGAAGAGGCTCTACGCGCCGCCGCAACCAGCAAAAAGAGGAGAGAGAGAAAAAGAGAGAGATGCCCGCATCGAGAGGCAGTAACTTGAGTGAGAGCAGTGGCAAGGCATCCATCCATTTCCAAAAGGAGAGACGCTCAGGCTCGGTCGTCGCCGTTCACACCCAACTAAGCTCTTGCAGACCGCATCTGCTTTCTTGCGATTCAGTTGACACCTTCCCCCATCGGAATCCATCCTCAGCCTCGTCGTCCCCAACCTCAACCTCATCCTCTCCACCTCTTCCATCTTTCTTTTCCCGTCTCAATACCAGCCATCAACGAGTTAGATTGCAACTATTCGAGCATAAAGACCAGCCTGTACTCCAGTCTCCATTCAGCATCATCCTTAACGACATAAGATTAAACTCTTCTTCCTTCATTTGCGCATCCCTAATTGCATCCCGTCCCTTTTCACTCGTCGACAGGCCGAAGGATCTCCCGCAGAGCTAGTGTTCCAGCCTCGCATTGCTTTAGCTCTCAGTCTCGTGCCCATCGGCTGAGCCACGAAAGCATAAGCTCACGCCAGGACCAACAGAAAGCTTGCTTGCTTCCTGGAGACGCGACTGTACCTCGTTGCTCGACACCTCGCGCGCCCCGCCGGTGCGACCCACTTCTTATTTGCACATCTTCATATCCTGGCATCGTCATTGCTTCCAAAACAAGCCACAGCACGTCGCTCCGAAGACCCGTCCAGAGAACGCAAGGGTGAGAGCCTCGTTTGAGACTGCCCTGCAACGTTGATCGCCAACTATCTGGATACTTTTGTCTTTCCGCTTTCAGATCGATGCAGTCTCTCCAAATCGCGCCAACTTAGAATATCCTTCTTTGTCCACATTCGACCTCTCACATTCGCAGCCCGAGACGAGCACCTCTTGGTCCCATTCCGTCCTCGATTCTGATTCAAGGAGGCTGCTACAAGTCGATATCAGGTTGGCACTATCCTCTCGACCTTAATCCGTCTCGACAGTCGCAGACTCACATCCCGCAAAAGGGGCCGCCTTGCTTCGCCCCCCAACTAGAACTTCCGATCAACGAAATGCATCCGAGGCAGCCTAGCGGTCCTGGCTCAACCGATGCCATGGAATTCTACGACCGCATGCATACACCAAAGGACGAGCTCGACATGTCTGACGCTTTTGCAGGTGCTATCCCACCCTCTGCTGACCAACACCAGCCGTTGACAAGCGTACCAGAACATTCGCAGCTCGACAGCCAGCAGCTACAATCCGTCAGCACTTCGTCTGCTTTCACCAACCCTTCCCTCGACCCTAGCAGCTCGCAAGTTCCATCTCCGCCTCCTTCTCAGCAAGCAAGTCCGAGCGCGCGGCGAATCGAGAAGCTAGCTACAAGGTCGTACGGTCTTGTTCAGCCAGGAGGTCGTCCTGATCCCTCGTCAGCCTCTTCATCTCGCAGACCTTCCGATGTCGCCAAACCACTTCCTGGTCTGCCAGGCGGTCCAACCAATGCAGAGCAGAGCTACCTCCCCGGCATGAACAACGGTGCAGCCTCTTCTGCCATGCCTCATCCTAGCTCGGCTATGGGTAGCCTCGTCGACCATCGCGCTCCCATCGTTGACGCCCTGCCGCCTCAGCACATTCCTCGTCTCCTCGGCGGATCCACCCCATCCAGCGCCCATGCTTCATCGCCCCTGCGCACACCACCAAGGCAGTCAGCTGTTGATGCTGCTTCAGCAACAGGGGTTGAGCCATTGAGGATGCCCACCTCCATCTCTGTCGGACCATTTTCTCCGCCAGAAGCCGACCCGCATCGCACCATGATGGACAGCAATCGTGACAGTATCGACGATATCCGCCGCAATCATGCCGCTAGAGCTGCCAGACGCCAATCGCACAACCCATCCGCGAGCGATGCTCGTGCAGGCAACGGACTCATCCCGGATGCCACCTTCACTCCAACCCGTGGCCACGCACATTACCAGAGCGAGTCACCAGCAGCAGTACTTGCATCGGCTGATCCGGCACAACGGCATCGCAAAGGTATGGCGTCCGAACCACCTCGTCCCGCCAGTGTGCTAGAGACGCGTGCCGCCCGAATGGAAGCTGCACAGCGTCATCAACAGGGTCAATCGCGTGTGGACGAAGGCAGCAGCGATACATTCGACGCCACGGACACTTTTGCATCGTCGCGTGACACCAACGTCGATCGTGCTTCTCAGCAACACTTGCAGCTTCGTGCTGCTCGTGAACAGGAGCAACGCCAGTTCGAGCAACAACAACAAGCTGCCCAGAAGCAACAGCAACAGCAATTACAGCAACAGCAACAGCTCAAGGAGCAACAACAGCGAGAGCGAGAGCGAGAGAGGCTCAAAGAAAAGGAACGAGAGAAGGAACGCGAACGTGAGAAGGAGAAAGAACGCGGTGACCGTGATCGTGACCGTGAGCGTCGTAGTCGACGTCTTTTGGGCGAGTATGCTCTCGGTAAGACTCTCGGTGCTGGTAGCATGGGCAAAGTCAAGCTCGGTGTCAGGATGGGCAATGGTGAGAAGGTGGCGATCAAGATCATCCCACGCCACACCTCTATGGCAGCTGCCCAGTCTCCACGAGGTGCCGTCGATGAGAACGGCAAGCCGCAGCCACCACCACCGCCTCCGACAGCCTCGTTCTTGGCCAAAGCCGCCGCCAAAGATCAGTCCAAAGAGACTCGTACTATTCGAGAAGGCTCACTTCAGATCCTCCTTCATCATCCGTACGTCTGCGGTATGCGGGAGATGTTCATCCACACCAACCACTACTACATGGTCTTCGAGTACGTCAATGGTGGACAGATGCTCGACTATATTATCAGTCACGGTCGTCTGAGGGAGCGAAGCGCACGCAAGTTCGCCCGTCAGATCGGCAGTGCTCTCGAATACTGTCACCGCAACAGCATCGTTCATCGTGATCTCAAGATCGAGAACATCCTCATCTCCAAGACGGGCAACATCAAGATCATTGACTTTGGTCTCAGCAATCTCTTCTCTCCCCATTCGCACCTCTCAACCTTCTGTGGCTCACTCTACTTTGCTGCGCCAGAGTTGCTCAACGCAAAGGTCTACACGGGCCCCGAGGTCGATGTCTGGTCGTTCGGTATCGTGTTGTACGTGCTAGTGTGCGGTAAGGTGCCCTTTGACGACCAGAGCATGCCTGCGCTCCATGCCAAGATCAAACGAGGTCAGGTCGAGTATCCTGCCTGGCTGAGTGGAGAGTGCAGGCACATTCTGTCGCGTATGTTGGTCACTAACCCTGCCAACCGAGCTACGCTTTCGGAGGTTTTGGCCCACCCTTGGATGGTCAAAGGCTACGATGGTCCTCCTGACGCGCATCTTCCCGATCGCACACCGCTTCGACCTAACAACTTAGATCCGGAGGTGATCAAGGGCATGACTGGATTTGAATTTGGAACACCCGAGTCGATCACGAAGAAGCTGATGGAGGTACTCTTGAGTGACGGATACCAGCAATCGCTTCAGCATTGGGAGCTCAAGAACCTGCCGGCTAGCCTCAACGGTCTCAGCACCACTGGCAGTATTGGTTCCTCGCCTGACTCGGCCACTCTCAATAGGCTGTCGACACGCGGAAGCTTCACTGCGACTGCTGGATCCGACACGGTCAAGTCTAAGACAGGCTCTCGACGATTCTCTGGTATCGAGTTCTATCGCAAGAAGCTCACGACGAATCCCTTGGCAGCGGCATTTGGCAGCAAGGACGACTCGTCGGTGGGTTCAGCGAATGGTAGCTCGAATGGCCTTGGCTCAGGTACTGGCTTGATGCCGTTTGGTAAAGAGCCTTTGGATCCCACTCGCGGCTTCCACCCGTTGATTTCAATCTACTTCCTCGTGAAGGAGAAGATAGAGCGTGAACGACTCTATGGTCACTCGTTCTTCGCATCGTCCAACCTCTCGCTCACTGGTCCACCTGTTCCACCCTCGGGCGTCGCTGGTGTGGGCGCAGGCACAGGTGCTCGAGCAGCATATGTTGGGGCTATGCCTACAGCTGCCGACATCCCACAAGAGGCAGTCCGCGTGCCCGAACCACCGCACGTCTCGCACCGAGCTTACGATCCTTCTCGTCAAGAAGCAGCGCTGGCTGCACCTGCACCGCCTCGTTCAGTAGCGGCTATGATGTCGGTGCCTGTTTCTCCCACGCCCGTCTTTGACTCGCGGGAAAAATCGAGGCCGACGGGTATCATGGCTGGTCCACCTCGTGCTCGTGCCAATGCGGAGGAGATGGAAGCTGCGTTGCGCGAAAAGGGTTTGCCCTCGCCGAACGAAGCTGTCTTTGCTCCTAGCATTAGTGGTGTGACGTCTGTGCCGGCGCCGAGTGCTGCAGGAAAGCGACAGTCATTCTCGGTGGCACCACCTACTGCGGAGGTCGTTATGCCTCAGAATCACCGTAACTCGATGATGAGCCCAGATACAAGCATGGCTGTGGCCAACAACCACAAGCGTAGTATCAGTTTGACTGCTCGTCGTCCTTCGAATGCTGCAACTTCTGGTCGCACTTCGGGGATGGGCGCAGATGGTAGTGTTATCACGGCACCCGAAGCAGCTTCTGTGGATGCAAGGAGGATGTCGACCATGTCGCCTGCACGTGCCGATAAGAGGATGTCGACCATCAACACGCCGACCAAGTCCGAGGCTGGTATCGCAGCGTCCTCTCCAGCGCCTGCAGCAGCAACAGCCAACACCAGCTTCACGTTGGGATATGGTGCTTCACTTGCTCGTCGCTTCAGCTCGTTCATGAGCCGATCTCCTTCGCAACCGTTGGATGCGGAGGCGAGGGAG